AGAGAGTAGTAGTAAGTAAGTTAAGTAAGTAAACGTAACGTACGTCCGGTCCGGTACGGTCGGTCGTGACTACGTATATTACGTACGTAGAGAGGAGAGAGAGAGAGAGAGAGAGAGAGAGGGACGTGGATTAATAAACCGCCAGTTCGTGGCACTTTGCCGGCAGAAGTGGTGAAAGTGTTTAAAAAATGCAACCGTTGGAGCCATTCAAATATTTATAGGAAAAATCGATGTACTCGTCCATAATGAGGAAAAAATGTCCCTTCCCTGTGTCAGCTTTGGAGGAAAAAATGTCCCTTCCCTGTGTCAGCTTTGGAGGATAACATCATCATTCCTTACAAAAAAAAAAAAAAAAAAAAAGACCGGTGAACGTCAAAGATCATCATGTCATTATCACATTTTTAATTTTCAACTAATCGCGGGGTCATCTGCATGGATATTGGTTTGTTATTATGCTTTATCAATAACATATTCTCCGTAAAGTCATAAGTTTTTTTTTATTTTTTTTACTAATTTCAAACATGTCTATATGAGTCTACCTCTTGCCTTTTTAAAGCCTGAAGTCCCTTATCCCAATTGAGCACTGTACAATGTACAATGACGAGAAGGCCCGAATAAGCCCTCTTACCACCAATTGCCTTCCCATTTTTGTCGTAGTCTTGCACCAGTTTTGCCACAGTCCTCTCAGGTCCTAGTTGAATCGGATAATTGGCCGACTCCAACGTTTTAAAAAACATCGAGTCGAATTGGACTCGTCCGGTTCGATTCGGAAATCGTGAAAAGGGGACCGGATCGCCCAAAAATCAAAAATCGTCCGGTTCTAGAGAGAACCGGACGATTCTGTACAGTGAATCGCCGATTCACTGTACGGAATCGGAGAGTCCGAACAGTGAATCGGCGAGTCCCGTAAGGAATTTTTATTTTTTTTTATTTTATTTATTATTATTATTTTTATTTTTTTTAATCCATGATAGATTTTTTTGTAATACTTGATCGATTTTTTTGTAATCCATGATCGAATTGTTTTTATTTTTTTGTAATCCATGATCGAATTTTTTGGTTTTTTGTAACCCATAATAGAATTTTTTGTAATCCATGATCGAAATGTTTGTTTTCTTTTCTTGTAATCCATGATCGATTTTTTTGTTTTTTTTTTTTTTTGTAACCCATGATAGAATTTTTTGTAATACATGATCGAATGTTTTGTAATACATGATTGAAATGTTTAGTTTTTTTTTGTAATCCATGATCGAAATGTTTGTTTTTTTTTTGTAATCCATGATTGAATTTTTTGTTTTTTGT